CATGCTCGGGGAAGACTGGATGTAACGATTGCTTCTTGGATTAAACACTGTACATTCATGCTAATTCCTGCTAATTGTCAAAGAAGAATAGGGTGACTCCTTATCAGCAATTTGCATTTGTGTAAGGGCCCTGGTCTGTTGCTGCTGTCTATTCCACTGATAAGGAAAATACCACTTAAAACAAGCAGGAAAGTAAGCCATCCTTTCCAGCATTTTTTTTTTTTCAGCCTTCCTTGAGCAGAAAAAAAAGCCTGGCATTCTGCAGGAAAAACTGTGTTATTCCAGGGGAAAACAGTGAGCAATAGAGCAGAGAACACAACTCCTCAAATTTTTATTTAATCTATTTTTAAAGTGTGCAATAGTATATGATTTGCACAATGTTAAGTTATACTGTGGATGTCACAGCATTGTAAAAAAATATTTAAAAAGTTCTTAAACTGTTAAAATGACACACAATACGATAAGTAAATTTAATTCATGTAACTGGGAAGTTCAGTCAGGAATATGAAAGAATTGTGTGGATCTTGAAAGTTGAAAATAATTACACATTTAAATTGTTAGTGTTTTTTTTTTTCTTTTAACACATATTGTTCGTCAATTTTAGTGGTTACAAATTATTGACAAGCAGTGATGATAAAGTTCAAATAGAGTAGATGATTGATATTTACTCACTGTTTTACAATCATTCAGTAGTTAACCTTCCAAATTATCTCTCTTCATGTTTCATAGAATAATAATTTACTAAGAAACAGCATTTGAGGCTTGATTATGAACAATTCCAGAGCCGGCAGAGAAATGTTTTTGCTTCTCTTTCTTCCATATTTACACCATTAGTAATAGTAACAAAGTATTACCATTTTATCTGAAAAAGTATTTTATCGCACTTCACAGCAGCCCTGTGATAGCTCGTTCTTAGAGACAAGATCACTGGGGCAGGTTAGCTGGACAGGACTCGCACAAGGAGTAAATGCTAAAGTAGCACGTTGGCCCTGATTCTGCTCAGCCAGCTCCAGCGTTCAGTTCACTACATTTTATCTATAAAGGTCTCCCTTTAGGGAGACTTGTTCACAGTCTTACAGTTTTTAACCCCAGTAACTCTAGTTGCCACTATGCCTTGCATGGGCAATGATTAAAGGATTATGGGAGGGAAGGGAGGTGGGGAGGGAGGGAGGAAGAGAGTGAGGGAGGAAGGAAAGAAGGAAGGAAGGAAGGGAGGGGAAGGAAGGGAGGGAGGGAGGGAGGGAGGGAGGAAGGGAGGAAGGGAGGGAGGAAGAGGCTAAAAAGAGGGGATCCCTACTGCGTGGCGAGGAATTTTAGGAGTCCAGAAATGGTGGTCTTAGTCTCCAAAGCCTTAGTCCTGGCCTAAATTGCCAAAAGAGACCAATTCAAGAGTGACATACCCCACAGTGCATTCTCTGATAACAAGTTACTGCTTTTTTTACACTTTCTTCCTTATAATGTAGTTGCGAACACCTAGGGAAAGTGTGTTTATACAAATGGCAAACATATGAGAAATGAAATCATATGTTGCAGTGTTCCTAATTGCTGTTCATTTAGCACTTACTAGAAGGTGACTGACTCCCAAATTAGGACAAACTGCTCACAATGTGGAGGGAGGCAGGCTTTATTAAGGACTGAATGGTAAGTGAGATCTACTCCACTTACTTCCAGGAACCGCTATGACGGTCACCTTTTATACATCGAGGCATGTTTTATCTGCAAAACTTTAAGCTTCACCCCTAATAAACTCCTCCCAAAGCTCCCAGAAAGAATGGTGCTTCCCCAATTTGGTTTAAGAAGCTGTTTTGTCTGTTTCATGAATTCCTGGCAGAATTAACACATGCACGGTGATGTCACAATATGGCATGTATAAGCCAGAGAGAAAAGATGTCACTGCAAAACTGATAGGTCTGTTTAGGACTGAGTCTGCACTGCGGTAAACTAAGGAGAATAAAAGAAACCTGGCACAGATCTGACAGGTGCACATTCGCCATCTCCGTACAGGTCCTTCTGACAGCAACTTATTTCTGTGTTTGCCTGTTGGTTCAGAACAGCTGTACCCAGTCAGTCACCTTTTGCACCACCTGGGAGTTTGTTGCTGCCTTACAATCCCATGAGCATTTCTGTTCTCACTGCTGCTATCAGATGAAAGGGAAATACCATAATCCATGACTGTATGAGATCATTGCTACTTCACTGTCTTCAAGGTCTATTTTACCATCAAATACCCATTGTTAGTTTCAAGTAATGATCTAAGAATTGTTCAAATGAGTGTGTCATAACTTGGAGCTACGGGATAGTGTTAAAGGGAAAATTATTTTAGGGGAAAATATTTTAAAAGTCTAAAAACTGGGAATTATTTCTAGTATGAACTGCTTGATAACACAAGATCAGAAAATCCAAGGAATAGGTATGGCGCATCTGTCTCTTGCTTATATTACTGCTCATCTTTATCATTAGTTCACAATTTACATGGAGTGTATGCTTTTGGGGGGATGTTGGTTTTATTATTTTAAGCAAAAGCCTCAGGATTTGTCCTGAAAAAGCCTGATGCAGCATTTGCTGTGCAACGTGGGTGAGGGGTGATCCGTAGCAACTTGTCAGGGGTTCAGAGGCCACTGGGGTGCACTTGAGGCTCCAAGCTCCTCTGCAGGGATGTGAGCGGTGACAGCCCACTGCAGGTGGTCCATTCTGCACTGTCACCTGGGATGGCCAGGATACCCTGCCCAATTTGTCATCCCACTGAATCCTGTCAGCAGTTGAAAGTCTTAAGCACAAAAGCTTTAACATTGAGGGCAAACTTCCTTCTCGTCCTTTTTAAAAGCAATTGCTATGGATGAAAGTATTAACACACAGTACCAAACAGTTTTTCACATGCAAGTATAATATCATGTTAAATTATTTGTTGAGTGATGTATAGAAGTGTTGTCTATAATTTTATAGACCAAGTGTTGCTGATAACACTCCCCTCTTCCTGATAAGGATGGTAAAATTATAGCTGATAGTGGGGGGTAAAATCCCTCTCTCCCCACTCTTCCTGGTTGGTTTGTTCACCTTTTGTTTAGTTTGTAGACCTACGAAGGATACCTTGAAAAGCATTTCGAAAAGGACTTTTTGTTGCAATAATAAAAAAGAGCCATTTCCTTTCTTAATTTTAATTTTTACTATTTATTAGGGTAACATTGATTAATTAAATTATATAGGTTTCAGGTATACAATTCTATAATACATCATCTGTGTATTGTGTTGTCTGTTCACCCCCCAAGTCAAGTTGAATGATTTCTTAATTATCCATAGCAATAACTCAAGAATATGATGCATCTTTGAAATCCCCAAATTTCCATTATCAACCTTTTATGTGGTTAATGAATACCTTCCCTATTTGCCCAGTAATAATACCTGCTATTATTCATTGAGTGCCAGTTTGGTGCTCATTCTTTTAGCTAGATTATTGATAATCTCTGCAAAAATCCTGTAAGAGTGCTATTATCCTAAATGGGGAAACAGCATCTGGGTGTTTAAATGGCTTGCTCAAGGACACAGAGCTAGTAGGAGATGGGATTTGAGCCAGATCTGTCTCCAAAATACAAGTCATTTTGACTGTCCTTTGCTGTTAGTCCTGGAAGCCACGCTGAGAACAGTGAAATAGTCCAAAAACAGGCCTAATTTGAAGAGGCAAGAAGGGTCTTGAGTGATTCAGAAACTGAATAATTAGATGTTGAATATTTCTATCAAGTAGAGTAAAAATTAAGCAGAGTTAGGGGAGAAATGGGGTTAAAAGTCAAAACAGAATGTGGACTAGTGAAGTGAATGCAAAAGAAAGACAGAAGAAAATGGAAAAATAATACATGAAAGGTTTAAGAAAAGTAAACAGGCATCTGAATATCATATGCAAATAACAAAATAAAAATAAGGAAGACAAGGATTAAAAATCACAAGAATGATCAGTAGACAAGAAAAAAATTTTGTCTAAAGATGGATTTTTTTTTTTCCCTGAGAGAGTAAATAGAGTCTTCATTGGCTTGACATACCGGATTTTTGTCCTGATAATGTGAGTGATAAACATTATGTAGATTAAGCTGCTTTTGGCTGAGTCTGGGCATCGCCTGTGATGTTCCCAGTGATGAGAGCAGAAGTTCTGATACCAAATGCCCTTAGGGCCCCAGGAATGAGAGCTTTGGCCTCATTCAGTGCATGCACCTACTGGTGGAGGCATCATTTTCAGATAATCGTGAAGTTAGATAAGTGAGTATCAAGCTTACTACATGAAGGAAGATGTTACAGACCAAAACTCAGGCCAGTTTCTACTCTTGATTCAAAATGGGTGAATGCTGTAGTGTTTACTCCACATTTTCAGCAATATTAGACTGTCCATTTTCTCAAAAGTGTGCTGGCAATTGGATATTTCAGAAATGTTCTTCTGAGTAAAAATTTGAATGGAATGGAACCTGGTCTGTATGATAATATATATACTCAATTAATATATCATTTTTATTAGGAACCATAAGCCACCTTATATTTTTCACTATATATTATATCTAAAAAATATTGTCAATATACGCATAAAACATAATTTCCAAAATAAATAATTTTATCAATTAGTTGCCATTAAAAAATTGATATCTAAATTGAGTTGCCGTGATATGACTTTGTGTCATTATCTTTGAGCCTTCCTGGAAAATGTATTTTACTTCATGACAATAGATCTTCCCTTTTTCTACTTCCTTGGAAAATAAAATACTGGTTATAAAAAAGTGTTGAGCCCCTTTTCCTATTATTGTAATCAAATTAATGATAATTACCTTTTTATGATTTTATTCTGTTTAATTGCACCCAGAAATTACTTCACTTTGTGACCGTTGTTTATTAAGCCTGAAAGTTTAGTGGAGTCTGTCATTACCTTGTATGAACTCTTCCTCCTAAGAGAATTTCAGATTAAAGGCTGCATGGAAAAGGGGAAGACAGATCTAAACCTTTGCCCTTCTTTATCTCCCATCCAGCTACATCGACATCTACAACCGGGACAAGCCATCTTGTAAAATGTGCAGAGAAGGAGAAAACTTTCTGTGTGAATGGAGGCGAGTGCTTCATGGTGAAAGACCTTTCCAACCCCTCAAGATACTTGTGCAAGTAAGAAAAGAAATCCTCCGCGTGGCTTATGTCCATAACTGCTTCTTTCAGATGATTCCATGTCTCATGATATCGTGTTGCTTCTTTTTCCAATTTTGTTCCATCTTGTTGAATAACACTTTTTATTTGTAGAATGGTTTTTAGAAGTTCACACCATTTGTCATTGGTTATATTCAGAATTGGGGTTTTTTTGCATTTTATGATTTTCCTTTTTTGCCTTTATATCTAAAAAGTTGCTTTCCTCATCGTTTTTATCATTGTTACCTAGAAAACATGTGCAAATATCATAGAGGTCTCTGACTATCGCTACCTACTTCTCCGTCCAATGCATGAATAGAGCTGTAAGGTAATGTTCCTTTTTACCCCGGTGATCGCCTGCAAAACAAATGGGATAACTAAGAGATAGGGAAGTACAGAAGATTCTTTACAGACACAAAGGTTACACTTGACATTAACTGATTGTTTCACAACTATTTTTAAAAAGTTCAGGTCGATCTCGCTAATTATCAAAAAAGCCAATTGCATGTTTTTGGGAATGGATTTAGTGGGTGTAGCGTCATTGTGTATAGAAGGCAGAAAAATGTCCTTTTATGCACTGCCATTATTTGTAGATATATTTAGTATGGCATTCTGTCCTATGACCTGCAGGGGTTGATACACCATTCATAAGTATCACAGTTTTTCTTTCTCAACAGGCAAAATAAAATCGTAATATTATCAGTGCATTAAATAGTTAAACCTTGCAGTTAAAAGTAGTAGGTCTCATTAAAAAGCATGTGTTTATTATGCCATGCATTTTAATTCTACTGTTGATATTTAGGCTGTGTGTGGTACAGGGACTCATATTATTTGATGTGGTAAAAGATGTTTAATGTCTCACCGAAATGATGAAAAATACACATTTATTTTGCAGTTGACCAAGAGCTGTGTCCCACTGTTCTAAACTAGCACTTGTTTACATGTGCTTGTCCTACATGAAGAAAAACACACATCATCATAAAAATTGTCTCCTGCTTTGGAATATTAGGTAGTGACTTAAATGCTGATGAAGAAGAGCAAATTTGTTAGAGCGCTAATAAACAATTAGCAAAATGGGAAAAAAAAGCGCAAGAACAAATTAAGAAGGCCGTTTCCATTTTACATCATGCAAATAGTATACAAATATTTATGTGCCAGTTCAAAAAAAAACCTTAATTGTTTGTGAGTAATAAAATACATCTTAAAAGGCACTTTTAAAAACCATAACACAACAACAGAATGCAATTTCATAAGAAATGTTTCGCTGCTCCCTGTGTTGTTCTTGACAGGGCTGCCTGTGGAGCATCTCAGGGCCTCATGAAAAAGTGCCTCCCAGAACTGCTTCTAGCCCTCAAAAGCTTTTCTTTTAGAAGAGTAGAAGCAATTCCAGGAGAAGGAAAGGATTGTTGGTGGTACAGCTGATTTTATCAATCAGACAGTTTATACAAGTCAATATAGTCTGTTGGAGTGAATAAAAATAGGAATCACAAGAGCACTTCAATTACTAGGCATCTGTTTGATAGAGGTAGGTAATGGTTATAAGGCAAAAAAATTAATAAGTCAAAGCCTTTCTGAAAATTTAAAGCAAGATAAAAATGAAAGAGTATGTAGAAACCATTCCTTTCAGGTTTGAATTATTTCACATCACTATCAGTATTTATTATTTTAAAATCAATCTTAGAGATTCACTTTCTCACTACCGGTATATTCAAATTTATATACGAAGCGCAAAGAATTAAAATTCGTCACTTTCAGTCTTTGGTTCTGACAACTTTTTGTGAATAATACAGCACAAATATGGCAACTCCATAGTTATCACAGTGAAGCAGGATGAACAAGTTTTATAGATTTCCACAAAGTTTTCTCAGATCAAAATAGAAAACACCAGAAGCTGAAAATTATAATCTGTAAAATATGAGCTTCATTTATTATTTGGGGAAATCTTGTTATTCTGTCCTAATCTCAGGCATACAGTCCAATTATGTTTTAATAAATCTCTTGGAAAAATATTTAAATTATAGTTCCTTAAATTCTTCTCCTTTTTAAACAGAGTGCCCATATTATCTGTGTCTCATATTTTTACTTCTTTAGAAAAACATCTGAGACCACTATATTTTAATTATAATAATGAAACATGATCATTTTTCATCATAGCCTTTGCAAAGATTTACAAGCTGAGTGAGTACATGTGAGAGTTTCCAAATACCTCGACGGAGCCAGTGCAGCTATTTTCCACATATTAATTTCAGCTCTTCTGTAGCCCTCCCACGTCCTATACAAAACATGCAATCACAGAAGTGTTGTTCATTTGTTCCATCTTGGTATTGTGCCAACAACTGCAATTTTTTTTTTCACCCACACAGTTTTTCATTAAATTTGAAGCCCAATCCAGGAAAAAAAAAATGCTTGCTATATTTTTTAAAAACTTACAGTGAAATGTTTGTTGTTTCTCTAATAATTATTAAAATAGCAAACCACGAAGGGACATTCTGTATCTCCCAAGCTCATTGTCTAGTGTGTTAGGGGGCCTTCTGGTTCTCAGCAAATTTGCATCATAATTTTATTTTTATCTTTGGTAATTAGAATCTCTCAGAAAAAGTGTTAAAGTTTATTATTGGATATGTGGGGGGAAAATACCTGATATTTATGATTTTGATAAGTACCCCCCAACCTTTTTAGACCATACCTTTATTGATGCATCAAAGCAAGCCAGTGCCTTAAGGAAAGAATTGGAATATATTCAACACCCGAAATATTTCAGGCCTTTTTGGCTAAATAAAAGTGCGCTTTAAAAAAAATTCCTATATTAAAAAAGCATTTATAGCATTAAAAATAATCACAACTCAGGCCTGAAACAAAGGCATATCTGAGGATAATGTATTGTTCACTAGACCACTTGAATAGAAGCAGAAAACATGAAAATGTTGCTTTGGCTCATCACAGTCTTGTACTTGAAGCCAGTTCATAGTTTCCATATGGGCCATCTGTCTAGAGCAAAACATTGCTGAAGCATGAGTTACATCATTCAAAATCAGCTTTATCCCTGACTGAAGACATGACTCAGAAACACCACAAGCATGCACGTTTCCAAGTAGTCTCTTTGGTCACCTAATCCACGTTGTCTTCTTGGGAATTAAAGCTGAAGACTTGACAGCAAATCTCTTTTGTCTCTCCATTTAGCACAGGGTGTCCCCAGTGGATTAACTGTAAAACAGTTAAACACTTCTCCGAGGAGAGGCTTGCTGGTTACTTGGGCTTCCCCTGGGGACCGCGTGGGAATTCCAGCAGTAGTTCCCATCTTTTAGGTTTCTTTTCCCTCTATAGTTATTTAAAATTTATACTATGGAAAAAATAGTTATTATTCCAGATTACACAAAGATGAGAAAAGAAACAGTTCATCTTCTACCCACTGATGCCCTATGTAGTCACATGGTTCAAAGGAATGAGGCATTTTGAACATGCCATTGTCCAAACTTCCCTCTGCCTTTCCCCCTCATTCATGCATATCTGTTCTTCTGAACAGTTTTAGTAGAAAATGTTTATGTGATTTTTTTAATCTAAAAATGATTTTATACCAGACTGTATTTATAAACGCATTAGGTCGTCCCATGGACAGATGTGCCTGGCCCATGAGGGGATTAGAGTTTTTACCACCAATTTTGGTGAACAGTTGTGAGCGCTTTCACTTCAACTCTCTGGACAGTATCTTAATTTATAACATAGAGTTAATATGTTCTCCAAATTTCTTCCCAGGAAGTTAGTGAAATTAAATGAATTCATTTCTGCTAAAGTACTTCTAACTCTGGCTAAGCAAGATTTTTTTTCCTTATAATAAAAAATAAATGGTAGTATTACATTCTCTCTGTAGACATTGGAAAAATACATACACCTGACTTAACAGACTGTGTTATCATGTTTAATCCCCAATTCCTCATCTTATTTAACACAAGCAGCTTTTATTTGGTTTGGTGGGGCCACCAGCTAGCTTTATAACTTTGCATTTGACAGATCATTTAATATCTCTGATCATTATATATCTTATAGGCAAAAAAACAAAAAACAATAAATCTTGGGAATATAAAAGATGCCTTCAAGCATGAACTTATGATTTTTATGATTAATTTGTATGAAACAATGTAGTAGATATAAAGGCCTATATTATATTATCATTGAAGACAATTAGGAAAAATGTATAGTAGTAGATTAGGTCACAACAAATATTATAATAAATTTAACTCAATAAATGAAATATTAATTAACATTTGTTATAATACAGCTACATCTTTGCCAGGCATTTTCGAAAACACAGAGAAAATGTAAAGCATGGCATCTGTCCCTAGAAACCTCGTCTATTTAGGAAAATTAAGTAGCTAAAAGAATGAATTAATTAGAGTGACTATATCCCAAGTGGTGCAATGGTGATTATTATGGTAACAAGAATTTAATGAAGGAAAAGAAAAGATTGGAGTACGTTGCAGAAGACTTTATAAACATTTGTGGAGCCTTTTTATATAGTAGGCAGGCATTGAACTGCAGTAATGGTTTCAGTGAGACACAGTGATGTGCATTTCTAAACCAGTAGCTCCGTTCTGAAAAGTAAAACATACAAAAAACTGCCTTAGACACTGAGCCAGTTTGTGAGCTCTGTAGGCAAGGGAGAAGCCATTGGACATTGCAATAGCTAACAGGGAGTCATAATAACTTCCAGAGCAGGAAAGGGGCACCAAAAACATAGCAGATATTTAGGGATGAGAGATTTCTGTACAGGCTAGAGAAATTGGGGGGCTATGTAAGATGCAAAGTCAAAGCCACTAGCCAAGGTTAAAATTTTATAAAATCCTGGCATAATATTGATGGTGATAATAATATTTATAATACTTGCTAGCAGATAGATTAACATACTGAAAAGGGGCATGATGATTCAAATTCGTAGCTGTGTCCTGCAGCCTCATCATCTTGGTTCTAGAAAGAGAAATTTGGAA